TGAAGGGTGCGCTGCATCCTGCCAAGGGTTTTTGGCATCGTGTGCTTACTTCCTTGCGTACGGATAACAGCTGCGTATGACTTAATTTATTTTCTGGTGCTTTCACTTCCTGAGACAGTTGTAATCACAGTGTAACTGCCTCGAGGGTGCTTGACCATTTGAACACAACGTGGTGCGATCATCCCCCTTGCGCGGAGTGAGGGTTCTCGACCCCGCACAACATGATCTACTCGACCACCATTATGGTTACCGCCAAAAAAAAAAAAACGAAGGTAAAAAAAAAAAACGGTAACCTGGTTGCCGAGTTCACGAAGTGAATTGGCTTGTTTTACAACGTCGTTGCCAGGCGACGAAAACCCAATCCCGATGGCAAACACCGGGGGGGGCACCTGCGGGGGGGGGGAATAAAAAAAAACTCTTCAAAAATTCAAGTCAACAGAGCAATGCGAGGAATATCAGGACCCTCCCCCCTATTTGTGGCTCTGAAGCGTCCTGCACTTGAAACGCAAACATGTGTGCACGGCCAAGCAGCGATGAACACAGAGCACAAAGGCGTGCTTCGCGAACGGGAAACGTCGGAGAAAATGCGTGTGTTCAACCTCCGGTAGATTCGAAAACCTACTGGCAACGTCAAACCCGGTATCGTCCTGAGCTATCGTTGACAACCACAACAACAACAACAACAACAACAAGGGTTGCGTCAACAATAGCGAAACTCAGCATGAACGACAACATGTTTTCCCTTACCTTCGGCCCCTGCGAATCGGGCTTATGAACCACGTTCCCCTCGCCGTCTTCCACCACGAATTCCTCTTCGCAGGTCAGCTCTACGTCTGCGATGACCCTCTGTGGCGCTCTTCCCTCCAGCTCGTTCATCACCACCCCTTCAGGTCCCAGCTGGATTGTCAAAAGAATGTGACCAAAACAAACTTGTTGCGAAGCTTAGTAGAAGGAACAAAGTCGTCCAGCTCGTTGACGACTCTAGGCGGTACATGAAGGACACGCCTACGGAAATAGATGATTATCAAGGAAAAATCTAACTTTCCGCTAGCTCGTTTGTCGTGACTCCACAATAACGACGAAGCAGCGGCATTGGAGAAGCAAAAACAGCCGGTAGCAACACCAGGATCATGGCTCCCATTTCAATCCGGTCGGACATTCACGTTTTGTTCCGATACTGTAATCAAGAGGAACAGCGTGCTGCCTGACACTAAACAACAACTACAGATTCACGTAAACAGGGAAAAACGAGAGCCGAAACGAACCCGAACAAAATAGAAATCGGGCGGGACTGTCAAACTCACCATTCCCATGGTAAGGTGGTACCTCGCCTCGTCGGCGCTCATCATCCCGAAATTTCTGAACACCAAAATACGGGGAGAGACAAAAGCAACGTGAGGAAATCAAATCAAACAGAGGGAATTGACCAAGGCCACGCTCATGGTAAAAATACCCTGGTCGAGTATTGTGGCGTGATCATCGGCTCGTTTCTAGTAAGGCAGGCACGACAGTAGATAGCCCAAAAACAGAGTCGAAGAAAACAACGCTTAGCAGCAAATTTATCCTTCCCGGGCAGCAGGGCAGGATGCAACCTACAACGTGCCTACCTAGCGCGAATGTCGAGTTCGAGGAAAAAGAGAGCGCCGAACCCTTATACCGAAAACGCTGAACCTCTGCACTATTCAGCGGGAACCTCTGCACTTAGGTCGATGTAACGCCGCATCTCAGCTCTCAGTAGGTATCACAAGACCAAGAAAAGAATACGACGCAATGGCCGATAATGAACTTTCAAGGACCTGTCATTCCACAGATCGAGCTCCATTGGCAGCATTGCCGCTGTGACAGTCTAAAAGACGCAAACCACAAGAGAAACTGAAAGCAGGCCGTAAGAGAATTCACCGACAGAAAAATAGCCCAAACTACGACAACACCCCATGTTGAGAAAGCATGTTTGAGAAAAGAACAATAGCTGTTCGGTTGTGTGTCCAGAACAGGTACCAACGTTGTTACTTTTCGGACGTACGTGTTCTTTGAAATCCCACCGAGCCGAACCCCGACCTTGCACAGCTTCGCCTCCACGCTGGCTACCGAAAGCCGCGGCACTAGCCCCTGCACCCGATATGACTCCAAGACATCGTTCAGAAACATGCTCAACTGTGCTCAGATTGACAGGCAGGGGGGAGGGGGGCGCATGGTGTACAAGAGTTGGGAGACAAGGAACAGGGCAGAGATGAAAAGGTACTCGAAGGACGGCACCGACTCATGCGTAGGACAGGCATCATTTTCTCTCGTGGAAAAGTATTCGGAAACAGCTCTGGACGGGGAACGATTGGCGTCAAGAAGCTTGTGTGTGACGACTCCAAAAACAACATTGTTGGAAACATAACCGTGACACATGCCAGCAGTAGGCCTCGAGCAACAGGCGGGGGAAGAAAGTTGTCGCAGAGAGACGATGCACCAGAAAAAGTCAGAAAAAGACAAGACAAGACGGCCAATTCGTGAACTTTCAGAGGGGGGTTGCCGTGCGGCACCTCGTGAACAAACTACGCCGTTCATTTGTCAAGAGGTCATGACATTGCGGGTGTCGTTCCAGTGTGATGCCCGGCACAACTTTTTTTCCTTCGCGCCCGACGTCGACAGCTTGCGGTCAGTGGCTCATCATCCCAAAAAGCTGAAAGCGAGGCAACACAATATACTACCATCGTGGCAGCAGCCGGTTCGCCCAACAACTTCCATCGACAGTGTACATTTCTCCTCCACACACCATAAACTCACTTCAGGCGATGCCACGTCGAAGTCAAAGAAGTCCGTCGGCGTTGTTCTTCCCCCTTCAGCTCTCTGCGGTGGCATATCCGGTCCTAGGTTGGCCAAACCCCCTCCTCCCCGCGACCCCGCCGCTGACCCAGCTACGGAACCCCCGCGGCCGCATTCCCCCCGGCTACCGGCTTGACCGAAAGCTGGGGCTGCGGTTGATGCCTCCTCGAATGGCAGTGGGTCCTTCCTCTTGTGCGGTGGGGGCGCGAAGAGTCCGGCAGCGCATCGGTAGGCAAGCTCGGCTCCCTAGAAAGCACGCTCGAGAAGCAAAACACGGAAACAGTAAATCGAAGAGGTAGGTGTGATTTTCCTTTAGTTTTTCCAAAACACGGGAACTGTTTGTTGTTGTGGGAACAACCAGCATCCGCTTATAGACAAAAAATGCCGTACCCTTAGGAACTCCCACGTGTCGAGGTTGAGGTGCTCCGCACGCTTCTCCACCCTGCCGTCGTCCCCCGGTCCATCGCCCGCCCGGTCTGGCCTGACGCTTTCCGACACCTTCTGTTGGGACACGAACCCCCACGGGATGATGGTCGAACTCAGGTCGCCCTGCTCGAGTGATCCAAAGCACATCACACGGCAAGAGACACGATGGGTTAATCTGGTGTCAGACGAAATTCGGGACCCTTCCGCATTTGGTTTGACTAGGAAACAGTTCTTTGGTCCTTGCGCATCGATGAGGGTGGTGTTTTTAACGATGCATTCATCCTGTGTTCTCCGACAACTTCTTCTACGAATCCGACAGCCGACACGGAAAATTGAAGTTGAAGCTTTGCGTACAGCAACAGGTGTACGTAGATCGTCCTGCGTGAGTCGTCCTGCGTTAGTGGCTCAAAGCCACGTAGTTGGTCCAAAAATCGGCCGGAGCCGCAAGAAAACCGAAGGGTGGGTGGAGACACGTTCTGGTTCGGAACGATATAAAAGCAAAGCATCTTTCTCGGTGCCAATTTGTCTCGGCTTCCTCGACTTGTCACGTCCAACCCCAGAGCAGCAAAAAAAACGCAATTGCACTTGGGGGCGTGCGCTCTAGGAGTGGAACTTCTGAAGCTTTCTGTCCTCAGTCGGGAGCGTATGGCAAGCACAACAGAACGAATGACGCAAGGGCTCGACACAGGTTTGAATTCGGCCGGCCTCAAAAACGATGCCGTTATCTAGTTCTACACGAGAGGGACATGACGCGCGATGCAAGCACAAAAGGCGAGCCCATTACCGGCGATCCTTGTTCGAAGATCAATCTGCTGAGGCGAGGAGGCTTCAGCTGTATGGCGAGTGCCTCAAGAGCAATACCTTGCTGAGAGAGAGGGGTAGTCCGTCGGCACACATTGTTGAAACGCTCACGACTACAGACAGTAGACTACGGTGGATTCGAGTCATGTTTTGACGAACTGCACACGAACTGCAAGTTGAGTTCAACATGGAGTGATCTCGATCACAGCATAAGCGCCAAGCCTAAACGTGAGTACAGTCAGCAGCATCGGCACATAACACTTACGCAGGCGACATGGTTCCCCTTCCAAGGAGAGAAGACTCTCCGTGACATCTCCTTCAACGCCGGCTCCGCAGCTCGGATCGCTCTCAAAAACATTGCTGCCGTTGTCGGAGAAGGCCTTGGAGCAGTTGAAGAGCAAACGGCTGCGAAATAGGGGGTCCAGGGCAATCACCCGCCTTCACCACCGCCACCGCCGCTGCCACCACCACTGATATATATATAATATATATATATATCGGGAGCTACAGTGCGCGGTGGGAGGATTCGTCTGGCGAGGGTGTGGTGGCAGACAGGGGGCGTGCGGTGTGCTCCGAGAGCTCCGAGCTACAACATGGTCGTGGAGGACAATTAGGCCGCATCTCTGTGATCTCCGGAGAAGGGGGCTCCGGCGCTGATACACGAATGCGGCGACATGGACGATGACCGAATCGTTGTGACACGCCGATGGGAAAGGTGCTGTCTTCCCCCGTTCTCTGCGAAACAAACCAACGCCGAAGGCAGCCGCCCATACCCTGTACTTCACGACTGCTGGATCCATCATTTAGTGCCTACTGCTTCTGCTGCTGTCAACTCCCACGGAGAGAGATGCGAAGAAAAGGCTAATTTCTTGCGGAGGATATCATGGCGAGGAAAGAAATGATAGCCTGGACATCACCTCTCCAACCGCAGATGCAGCAACGGCAGCAGCAACAGCCAGAGCCACCACCTTTCCCCGTAAAAAGTGGTTTTCTCAAGGGAATGGGGAGAATGGCTGTCGCAAACGCGAAGACGGCGCCCTCGAAACTGAGGTGTGATACGAAGAGGAGAGAGATCTTGGCAGTCGCTCGAGGAACGGTTCAGGTGTCCTCGCTGTTGCGGGGTTACCTCTGCCGTTGTTGGTCGACCAAACATACCAGCGAAGTCTATCTACAGCAGGAAATACCACGAGGGTTGTGTCCCTTAAAACTAAACATTTCGTGTGATGCTGCGATGTACGTGCATCATGACTTTGTGTGTTTATTTTGCTGAACACCGTGTGCGCACACGCAAACTCGTAGCACCCACTCCGCTCGAAATGGGTTGCTTGAGAGATGTCCCCCACCTGGTTCGACTACGTAGCTCACTGGCCGATCTATCTTGCACGACCTAAGCAGACTACCCCAACTTTGGTTTTCTGCGGGCGTCTGATCAAACAGATGTCGGAAGGTAGGTGCTCGGTGCCGGTTCGAGGGCTGCACTGGGCGTCCCTGGTTCGCACAGCCGGGCTCCCGAGTCCCAAAGGCATGCAAGGCCCATAAGGAAGAGGGGGAGGTCAACGTCTACGCGCCAGCCTGCGAAGCGGATGGGTGTACGACGAGGCCGCACTACGGCGTGGACGGCGGGCGGGCGAAGTTCTGTTGCAAGCACAAGGTGCGTTCTTGTTTGTTCTTGTTTGTATCACAGTAACGACTCTCCGCGGTATTGTGTAGTAGGCGTGTTGCCAAGTCTGTAACCCTGGGGAAGACAGGCTGCGCATCTGGCTGAGGAGAAACAGTTTTACTCGTTGTGTGCTCCACCTACGCTAGACCTCGCCAGAAACGCCAACAATAAGATACGGGGAAGGTACGGTTGGTAGCCTACGTTGGTTCATATTGCTGGCTGGGTTGGTCAAGAACAAGATACGATACTGGTAGACTGTTGCTTATGCTTCATGCCCCCTTTCGTTGACCCTCTGTGATGCCCGTTGACTCGTTGAGATCCTCCTCATTTCTCTGACGACGCTTTCGACGGGTGCTGCAGCTTGACGGGATGGTGGATGTGCTCAACAAACGCTGTGCGAAGAAAGGGTGCCGAAGGCAGCCGAGCTGGGCCAGAGAAAGGGCAGCTCGAGCTCTTTTCTGCAAGGTACTTCCTACGCCTCCTACTCTTCGACGGTTCAAGTGCTTTCTTCGATGCTGCGGTTCACGCTATTGTTGGTACACCGGCATCGATGTTAATGTCTTGTTGCTATTACCTCTTGAACTGGGCCGAGAGATCGGAACAGTGTTTACTGTGAACATAATAACAACAGCATTTGCTGCTTGTGCTGTAAAGGCTCTGCTGTCGACACTCAACATCCTTGCTACACCACGGCTCTCGTCGATACCCACGCGAACCCTCTCCCTTCCTCACCCCCCACAGGAGCACAAAGAGGACGGCATGGTGGACACAAAGCACAAGACGTGCTTACACCCGGGTTGCACACGGTTTCCCTCGAAAAGCGGTGCCGTTGCAACAACCGAGTCGCAACCCTCCGAGGAGAACACAAAAACAGCGGCGGGAGGGGCGGCAGCAACAGCGGCGGCCCACCCGGGACCAGCGAGGTACTGCGCCGCGCACGCTCCGGCGGGAGCGACGAACGTGACCGCTAACCGGTGCCGGCACCCCGGCGGCTGCTCCGTGCAGCCGTACTTTGGGCGGGAGGGAGGGGGGCAGCAGCCGGAGTTCTGCGCTCTGCACCGGAAGCCGGGGATGACGGATGTCCGGAACCCCAGGTCTGTGCGGAACGCTTTCGTATTTGGTTTGGCCTGTGGCGCTTGTGTTTATGTGTGCGCGCTTCTTGGCGCGCCCCTTCGTATGTATTCGGTTGTAGTTTTTCCCCTTTAGTGAGGCGTTGGTAAGGCAGGCAGGGGGATATGCGCGCTACTTATCTGTCATCCTGCCCGTCGGGGGCCGCGCCACGTCACCGGCAACGGCGTGCACTACGTACATATATATTTATTTTTTTCTCAACTCCCGGACTATCTGTTTTCGCGTTCGCTTGAAGTCCCAGTCTTGGTGGCGTGCTTCGTTTGGTTTATTGTTTGCACCTTCCACCCCCCCTCCCGAACCCCGTTAAACCGCCACCAAATACTTCGGAGTGTAGTCTCCACTCGGACACTCAGACACGTTCTGAACCGGGTTCGGTCCAGACTTGTTTTGAAGTGGTTACAACAAGCACGGTGCCTTGGATTAACGTTGAGGCGTCAAGGGAGTGCGTAGTGTAGTCCAAGGTTGTCAAGTGGCTTTTGTCCTTTGCCTGGTCTTAGCGACGCTCAACCTCAAGCCGTATCCACTTTTCCCACATCTGCAGGTGCGCCGCGGTGGGATGTACGGCGCAACCCAGGTGCGGGCGGGAGGGGGACCCGCGCCCTTCGTTTTGCCTGCGCCACGCAGCGCCGGACATGATCAATTTCAGGTTGGTAACGTTTCCCCTTTTGTATTTTTCAACGTAGCGTGGAAGACGTTTAATTTTGTACGTATCCCTGGATCTTGAGGTGTGTTGTATGCTTCTAGAATGGATCTGTGGTAATCAAGTAGGGTTTTGCAAGACTTCGTGGGGATGGACGCGAACCTTCGTGTTCGCGTACGACTTGAATTTTGCCCCTTGCGTGGATTTTCGGGTCTTATCGCCGCGATGTGAACGTACGGCATGGAGACCAACTTGCATTTGGACGGAGCCCGCCAAGGGAAAACATGTTTTTTCTCTCGTCATCATCAACCCTTTGCCCGCTCCAAGCTTGTGGGCCTGGATTGTTTTCACATTCTAGCTGATTCACGAGTACATATCCAATCGGATATTCGCTTCTATCCGCAGATTTTTGGAGCGATTGACGTCGTTTCTGACTTGATGGCAACCACGAACGGAGCACCCCCCTGTGGTCACCTCGTTGCCCGCTAGCATTTATCGTTTTGACGGCATTCTTACGTACCCCTGTCGCTGGTGCACTCTCTCAGGTCAGCAGGCTACCGAGACCGAGGAAAGGCGCCACCGCCGAAAAGGAGTAAGCTTGCGACATCATCTTCGGCCCCTTCGCGGTAAAACGTTTTACGGGGATGGGTGGCCTCGAGTATGGGGAAGAGAGATCTTGACCTGGCACGGCGAATGGCGGAGGGGGTAGGGAGAACAGTAGTATACCTTGATGACAGCATGGCTGTGGTGTTAACGCTCCCGGCGTGATGGCTGCACAAGCTTGGGGAAGGGAGAACAGTAGTTTACCTTGTTGAAAAACAGGGCGCATTTGTCATGATTGTAATGCCGTCGGGTTGATGGATGCACAAGCTTGGAGCTAGGTACGCCGTTTGGTTGGTCCGTTTCGATTTTGTCGAGTTTTGTGCGGCGGCCGGCTGGCCGTCACTAAGCTGAGTTCATGCTCGTGAGTAGTTTCTTTTTGCTTATTTCGATTTGGAATCGTTTGATCCAGTTTTAGCTGCCTGCCGTTTGCTTGATGTTTTCGGGTGGAGTAACAGGCGTGCCCCGTCATATGTGTGCGCGTGTTTCGTTTTTGGTTGTTGTCCGTCAGTGGGCGGAGTATGTCTTTTGCCCCTACCGATTATTGGGGGGATCCCTTTGAGAGCCCCTCCGCCATCGCGTGGAGTATTCAATTCTAGTGTAGCACGTGCTCAGCACCTCAGAGCTGCTTTAACCCACAGGGGTGTGTGCGTGCGAACACGTCAGCAATGAGTCGTTCTACACAACCTTTATTCAATGTCGAACTGTCACCAACCACGACGCTCGGGATGTGTTCGATGTATCTGGCGCAGCAAACAGGGATAGTGGTCGTTTCCCCCCCGCGAGGTCAATGGTTTAACGACTACGGCATGCCCGACTATGAGTACACCCCCCTCCCCCCCTCCACGTACAGGGAGATGTTTGAGGCATGGAATAGAGAGGAAAGGACGGTAGCTGTAGTGGGGCATAGGAGGTGGGTTGAAAAGGCGGGAAGGGATATCGTTAGGATAGACAGACTAGGGAAGACATTTTTGAGCCACCTTTGGCAAAGTAGAAAGGAACGATTGGCCATCGGTGATCGGTCCTGTGGGAACAATGCTCCGTCCTCTCGAGGACGCGTGGTCANCCCCCCCCCCCTCCCCTGATGGACAGGGTAAGGGTTACGACCTCTCGGAAACCTCAGCTTTCTCTGCCAGCATGAGCAGAGACGCTCGGGTAGTCAACATCAATGGTTGTTGTCGTATCCAGAGGCACACCAGAAACGACGCTGTACATGGTGTACATTGTCGACAGCCACAACCTACCCTCCCACATCGACATGCGTTTCAAATAGCACTCTCCGCCTACCTGGCCTCTGTAGCTGAAGACAATTTCGTAAGAATCTTGACACAATTTTTCACAGAATTGTGTGACGGGATACGTCTATTTCTCGTACCCCCGTGAGACACAATCGAGATCTTGGCTATACCTTCAATCCGCGAACCTTCACTCGTTTCCGGCGCAACCCTGGTCGTGAAAAAAGCACGGGTGTATTCTGTAGGGTACAGGTACTCTCTGTAGGGTACCGGGGG